ATTCGATTATTAGACAGTATAATCCCGATTTTATTTGTTTTCTTATTTTAAAGAGGTTAAACCCCCCAAATTCTATATAAAAACATGCCTAATATTACTTTTTGAAAATTTAAAAAAAAAAAAAAATATGTTAATCAAATTAAAGTATTTATAAATCACGATTTAAATTCAACGAACGAGTTAACAAATCAAACAATATTATTTAATTATTTCTTCTTGTTTATAAAGACGTTCAAACCTACATTTATATGTAATCAACAATTGTAAAAACTTATCGAAACATTAAAATAAAAGTAACTCTAATCATTTTTAAAAAAAATCATTTTATATTGCAGATTATGTTTTTTTTATACACATATATTAATATATGTAAGATATTTGAAAAAAAAAAAAAAAAGAAAGACAAATCACAATTTATAACTAAATTAGGTAACATTTTAAAATTTAATTATAAATAAAAATATTTCATTAATTTTTCACAATTTAACATTAAACACAATGTAACATACGATTTAAATAAATACCACCGAAATATAACTAAAAAAAAAAAATTTTCATATCATTAATTAACATATTTAAATGTAACAATAGTGCAACAATGACAGTTTTTTTGTTTTATCATTTTAATAAGAAAAATAAAAAAATGATCAATAACTTTTCCTCTTCTTCTTCTTCCTTTAACTAATATCGATTAATCTGTAACTCTAAAAAATTTTTTAACTGACATTAGTTCATTTGTATGAATGAAGAGATAACGTTTAAGTTTAATGTAAACTTATTTCAGCATAATTTTTGCAATATGTAGTAAAAAAAAAATTTTTTTTTGGTGGGGGGCGAAGGGGGGAACACAATCGATGTATGTAATTATCACTACATCAAATTATTTGGTTCGATTAAATTATTTTGATGATACATATTATCGTAATTCAATCCGACAGATCCGATTAATTCATTTTCGATATTTTTCAAACCATATTGATGTTCAGCAAGTTCCAACGCTTCCCATTCTGCTTTAAAAGCAGCTTTTGGATCAGATGGCATGGCCATAGCAGCTCCAGACATTTGCTCTTGTATATGCTGAGTTTGATCGGCAGCATTGTTTTCACCCAAAACAAGCGTGTATATGCTTCTCAAACCGAAAACGTTTAAAAAATACCAAGAAGCAGATGATACCCATGAAGCATCCAATGATACTAATTCTATTCCCCTTTGCAACATGGATTTGAAACGTAGGGTTAACGGAAAAGGTACTTTGGTTGTAACGAAACCTGAAAACGTCCAATTGATCCAACCTCCTATCATTATCATTGGGACAACGTTAATTAAATTCCCTTTGAGCATGTCGGTCATCATGCTAGGATCCGTCATTGGATTTTGAGCTACGGCATTTCTTTTTTGCGTTTTGAAATAACCCACTTCTTCGTTATTGAAAAAATGCCTTCTCATTAAAAACGATTGTTTCGGTATGTATTTACCATTTTCTCTTAAATTTCTTGCACGAATTATTGCCTGACTATCTTGTACTTGTTGCAACTCGACTTTTTTCTGTGTGCTTATCAATATTGACACGTAATGACGAACGATTCCAACTAAAAATGTTATAACGACGATGGGTAAAAATACCCAGACACGTATGTGCGAATCTAAAAGAAGTTCTGCCATTATCGGCTTTCAAAATAATTTTTTAAATAAATAAATTAACCACTACTACTACTACTAAATATCCTCCATATTGATTTGTCAACAAAAAATTTTTACGTTGGCAACATTGTTAAAATTTGTTTTTATCTAAGAAAAAAAAGTTCAGCAGTCACTCTTATAATTTAAAAGAGTAGAAAAAAAAATTTTTTTTTTTTGTTGTAAATTAAAAAAGGCCATATTGACGAGGCAAAATTAACATTTATACGCTTTATAATTTTTAAAATTTTATTTTAATATGAAAATAAGTATTATTAATATTAAACTAATATGTAATTAACACCGAACATCAATAATAATAATATTTTTACCTGAAAAAAAAAAAAAATTTATTTATAAAAAGGTTTTATTTAAAACTTTTAATTTTAATTTTTCTTTTTTTTCCATTCAAAAACGTGTAAAATTTTATAAAAAGACAAGGCTTAAGATAGACAAACTCTTATAAAATTAAATTTTTTAAGGGTAAAACTTATGTAACAGTCGGAACAATTGGTTTATTTTAAAAAAATAATTTTTAAAATGAAAAACCCTTATGAAAATAATTCATCTTAAAATAAAATCGAATAAAATTATTTCATTGGTCGAACGGATTTTTTTTTTTTTCTTTCTGACGATACCGTTTTGAACGTGTATAGAACATTCTAGAACATTTTTGGAAGCGTCCCGAAGAAGTTTGTCACATTTATTCAATATTAAAAACGCCTCTTCAGCAACAACATCAAAAGAATTTTAATATTCTTATTTGTTCAACCTTTTGATTGAAACTCTATTCAAACAGCAAAAAGGTAAGTTTTTCTTTTATATTTAATTTCATTTTTAATGTAAAAAAAATTTTTTTTTTTGGAAACCTTTTGTGTATCGACCGGCATTTTGTTTCCGAGTCATGTCATCAATTTCATTCCAAAATTACATTTAGGATTTTTCTAAATTGATTTATTTTCTACACATATTTTTAATTCGTGCTAACGTAAATCATCGAAAGCGGTAAAAAGCGTTAAAAGGAAAGAAACTTCTAGAAAAAAAAAATATCTTTTTACAGATGTCTCTCGTGCCGTATTTATTGACCGATGTGTTGGACGATTTAACACGCCCATCGAGTATTTTCGATCAAAATTTCGGTCTTGGACTCTTGCAAGACGATTTGATCAATCCTAGAGCTCTCATGCGTATGCCTTTGTCCAGAGGATACCTTAGACCATGGCGTCACGTACACGGACGCGACAGCGGAGTTTCCAACATAACAAGCAACGAAAACGAATTCAAAATCAATTTGGACGTACAACAATTCCCACCGGAATGTTTGAACGTTAAAGTCGTCGACAATTCCGTCATCGTCGAGGGTAAACACGAGGAACGTGCTGACGAACACGGTTACATATCACGTCAGTTCACGAGACGTTACGTACTTCCGGACAACGTGGATCCTTCAACCGTCGTGTCCAATTTGTCCTCTGATGGAGTTTTAACCGTGGCAGCACCCAAAAAGATCGCACCTGCTCCGGCAAACGAAAGAGTCGTACCCATCGTACACACTCAACAACCGGCCATCAAGAGCGGCAAACAAACAAATCAAAAAGCTGGCGGAGACGCAGAAAAAATGGAACAATAAATTTTTTCTTGTCACTAACCTTATGTGAATTCGGTAGACTGATTATATT